AAGAATTGGGTTCATGACACTTAGGCAGATGGATTAGCTTATTTATGGAGTAGTGAAAGATGGTTTGAAAAGTCTGAACTTTAGCCACAGGGACAAAACCATCCTGTCCTGGATATAAATCCACTATTCATCCCAATGGACATACATGTAGCTGGAGAAGTTTCTACTTTTAATAATACGATACTTCCAACTTCCAGATTTGGCCAATCCCTTGTCCATTTTGATCAAGACTGCAAGGTATGCAGGTATTCACTGTGGCATGTCTTTCAAAATTCCTGCTTTATTTGTTCCAGCAGATTCCGTCTGAAAAGTCTTAAGGGCTGGCACAGTTACATTTGGAAACACGTGCAACAGTTCTGAAGGGTTAGTATATCGTAACTCGATACATCTGAAGTAATGGAAATTAGACGCTTAGAACTTAGAATAGCCTCTATTTCAGCAAGTAAATTAACAAACTCTTCAAATGTAAGTATTGTCTCTCCTAGAACTCTTTTGAGACGAATTTTAGATTTAGTTCCGCTTTCCTGTATACCATCAAAATGTGGAGAGGCGGAAGGAATTGTATGCTATTGAATGGAAAGAGTGGCCAAAAAGACATTGAATTCTTCTGACTTACTTAATTCCCTTACCTCTTCATGAAATTTTTTCTTCACTCCAATAAAATTAGTCACATGACTGAAAATGTGCTGCAGTTTACGTTGATGTGCAGCAATAAAAGAATCAGTATTTAAATCTGAAACAGCTTTTGCTCCAAGCAAACTGAATAACAATATAACTCTTAGTAGTTTCACCATGTCCCTTGTTGAATTTCAATGCTATTGGTTCTACACAGTCGATACTATGATGGAAAATGGCCTTTCTAATTTTACTCTTTACTTACGTTGACGTGCAGGAATAAAAGAATCAATATTTAAATCTAAAACAGCTTTTACTCCAAGCAAATTGAATAACAATATAACCTTCACCATGTCCCTTGTTAAATTTCAACATTATTGGTTCTGCACAGTCGATACTAAGATGGAAAATGGCCTTTCTAATTTTACTCTAGATTTTGGCAAGCTACCTAATACTTGAGTAGAAGTATTCACTTTATATCTAATACACAATACATACTTTAATGTAAAACTTTTCATGAGCTTCCTTGCTCCAATAATCGAATAATTTTGCTTTAAAAATGTGATTCAACACATGACTGAAAATGTGCAAGACTTGATTAAGCAATATCATATGTACTTACTTACATGCTGTAATATACTACAGGATGAATTAATTAATAGGTGCTTAGCATCATAATTTAATATAGAATGCTGAATGCGGCTTCCTACCTATAGGAGATGAAAGGCCTCAATGCTGCCAAACCACTATTTTTCAAAGCCTTTTTGGATTTTAATGTCATCTCAAAAATTCACTTGTTGTACCCATGGTAATAAATGCCTTAATGCTTCTTTGTATTATGAAACAGTTTTAAGCAAAATTTCTCTCAAAGGCTTACAACTTGGGAAAAATTTTTTTACCTTGAAAATTTTGGTAAATTTTTTTGCAACAGCACATAATTCGAATAGTTTTTGAAAAGGAAGATGTGTTACTTAAACCCACCAAACAGTATCCAAATTTTCCTTTTCCAAACCAGTATGAATAGAAAATACGGTATTAATCTTTCATTGTCAACACATGCTGACCTGTAGTAACGTTGGGTAGTTCAGAACTAGGCCAAGCCAAAGGAACTCTCAAACAACTCAAACTCTGCCCCCAAAGTACATATCTTACGAGAATGGGAAAATTTTCCTAGAAGCAAGGCCTGAAAGCCTGAATTTTGATGGAGCACAATTCCAAAGAAATTTGGGCTAAACTTCTAACATTTAAGATGTTCAGTTAGCAATGAAGCTTTCCATTTATGAGGATTGCACTCAGTTCCAATCTAGGAACAAATAAGGGTTTCAGAAATCCTAGTTTTTACAGCTCAAATATTTACTTTACACTTGCTTTGAATAAATCACTGCTGAGAGTGCAAGATTTAGAGCATCCTGAAATACGCACAATTGCATTTTCTCTGGAATATGCTGAGAAATTTTAAGACTCAATAGCCGAAAATTCCCTTTCAAAATTATTTTGAGCACTTTCACATATGTAAATGTATGTGTGTGTGTATATATATGTATATATATATGTAAGATATAACAAAATACGATAGCTGCTTTAAGAATAATTGGCGACCTCAAAATTAACTATTTTAGATTTGGTGCTCTACCCCTAAATTCATCTGTTCTCCCAAATTCAAGATCTTTCTATATTATATAACAATCAAAGATTAACCAATCATAGCTTATAGTACATTCTGCATGTACTTGGTATTAATTATCTTGGAACAATAAACTATGTCACTCCTTTCCCTATCTTCTGCCTTGCTAACATCTTTGTGCTGCTTCTCTTCTCAGTCTGATGCCCACATCTTACTTTTAAAAAATCAGTGTACATAGGATTTACTGCATATTATTATGATTGGATAAATGTCTACTAAGATGATTTTATATGCATGGAAATAAAGATTGGAATTCATCAAATTTATTTTGCGACGCCGTCATCTGTTCGTCTTCCCACTCAGGTGGCACGACTACACATTAAAAATATGACACACATATATCTGTGTGTATTATTAATTTTTTTAATCTTTATAAACAGTTATGATAAATTTAATCTTTATTGTAAACCTTTAGTGTAAACATCAAGCAAATAAGATCGCAAATTGTTTTTCAAGAGCATATAGTAGTCTTCTGTTCCTGTGCTATCAGCTGGTGCGATAGAAGGCTTCCTGTAATATCATGATGGGGTTGAACACTGAAGCAATTTTGGGTTAAACCACTGTCATAACATATTAACTTAAAAATTATTCCTCAGATATTTATTAAGGTAAGAACATAAAACTATATTTAAAATGAGTTATTCAAGACAGAAATGCCAACTCAAATGATGGACAAAACTACTATGATGATATTCCATCATGACTGCCATATGGAAAGATGAGCACTCATTTACTAAAGAGAAGACTTAATTATTCAAAATGGAGCTCTACGCTTTTTTTTTTAGTCAATCACTTGCAAAATATATTCTCCAAGTGAAGTGGCAATACTTAATTTTGATAACACATGAAATTCATATATTGAAAGTAATACTTTTTTTCAACATGTTAGAAGCTTTTGTCATTGATACAGTGCATAGTAGCACCAAAAGATTGGTTTCATTATGCGAAGATACCTGTTATAGCTAACTCCTTTTGGGCATGATGATTATTAATTACATTAAATTTTAATCCGACACTCAATCAACATATCATGATACATATTTCAAAACTGATGTACAGTGTCAACCCTGACGAAACACTGCAAATAAAGAAATTTTCAATGGAAAATAAACAAACCAGTGATGGGAACATATCTGCAAGCTAGACAACATTAACTAACAAATGTAGGGAGACAATATTAAAACTTACTTTCTAGCTTGGAAAACTAGTTTTTTATAATGCAAAACTAAATTTCTTGTGAAGATGATTAGTCTAATATAATTTGCTGAACATTTAAAAGGAATCAGTAATTAAACAAAAAAATGTTTATTAACAAAATCAGTAAAATTTTAAAAACAAACAGTTGATACATTATATTGATAAAATTTTAATATAAAAACATATAAGCAACCACAAATTACAAGAATTTATCACGATAATTGTAATTTAATTTTCAATTATCACAGAATACACTTGGTTATAGAATTTCCCCCTTTTTGCTTTTTGTAAAAATGTACATAAAAAAATTTTAGTACAATAGTTTAAATATAAAAATATATAATGAATTTTATTATACAATGCAGAAAAGACTGAACAGATCCACTCAACCATTTTGAATAATTAATGAAGTACAGAATTATAACGACGATAAATTTACATATTTTAATTCTAGTTTTTAAAATCAGCACATTACAAAAGCTAAAATCAGACTAACATAACACAAAATATGAACAATAAAATTATTTCATAAAAATAATTGCAAAAAATGTAACAATTTTAACACATATCAAAATTTTAAATGGTAATAATAGGAATGTCAATTTTTTTTAAAAAACAAACTTATCTGAAAAGTTACAGCCCATAAAAGAAATAGCTATGAGCTCTCCACTTTTTCATCATGTCTCCTGGTTTCTCCATGGATCAACAAACTTGCTAGTTTTTAACCCATTTGGTATGAGTGTGTCATATATGCACCAACAGTAAACATTACTTCACAGCTGTGTGTGTCATATTTGAATCGCCATTTAATTCACTGTATGGCTGGATGTACCACATAGGACTTTTTAGATAGAACGTTTAATTAGTATTTTTTGTTGCCACTAGATGTACCTGTATGCCTGTTATGGGGAAATATATCAAAAGTTAAGTATGTATACCTTCATTCCTATGCAATGTTTTTTATTTTTGGCATTTTGTTTCGGAATGAGAGGGAGATTCGTGGGTGGGTGTTGAGCAATGTAATGTTTCTACCTGCATCATTTGATATAAACAAATGCATGTGTTCTCGATGCTTGCTCGAGGTACTTTTTATCTTTGAGGTATCATAATGTACCAAAAATTGGAACAGTTGAATGACAAATTTAATTTACACAAATTTTTTTCAAAAGTTAGGCTTAGCAGTGCGAATTGCCCGTCCCCACAAAACGATGTATCCGGTTAAAGCGCTGTCCCAAGAGAACACTTCGGTAACAGAGGTGCCCCTCGTGAATGGGTTAATGTTAAGCCTTTAGTAGGGAAAATGTTTCCCAGCAATAAATGACTAACTTTAGACTTGTCTTAATCCACTGCAGATATTTATAAATTTTTATATAAAGATTCCAGCAATGTTTAATCAGTTAATATTTGTATTTAATTTTACTTCAAAATTTATCCATACAAATATACATTAAATTTTATTTTTGCTGTGTTTAGAAGTACTTTGATAAGTAAAAGCTTTTAATCAATCCTTGCGATTTTCTCAGTATAAATATGTAAGCAAATTTTAAAATAAAATTATTCAAAACGCATAATTTTACAATATTTCATTGAATGCTAAAATATTCTAAATCGGAACTGAATTTAAAATAGTGCAATAACCTGAACCATACATTATAAAGGGAATTAAAGTCAGTTTGAAGTTTCTTCAAAATGGTGTCACTGCACAGCATGAAAACCTTCCTGTTTTCTTGCAAAAATCTCTCAGTTTTTTTACAATTTCAAGGCTGGCAGCTTTGAAAGTATTTACTAATATGAAAACTTATCATTACACAAAACAGATGAACTTCTCAAGATACCATAAATTACAGGACACAAATAAAGAGATCTTACTTAAAAGGCGTCAGTAAAAATTTTAACTAGTTCAGAACAAAAGAAGCTTCATAAAATGCTTTCTGATCTCTTATTGATTCGTCACACATAATTTTAAAATACATAACTACATTATATGAATATATTATAAAAACATTAATTACAGAATCAAAAGCCAGCATGAGGAAGACACTTTGATTTCTTTTAATTCTTTGCACAAAAAGGGAATTTGGGTTTCCTTGAATAAATTAAACTTGCAGCAAGATAACTACTTAACTATTTATATGCAATTTAAAGGTTAGCATGATCACATCAACAGAAGGCACAGACACTCTCAAAGAATTATTTGGATAAAAATGACCCATATCAAAATTACTGAACAAGTCTGTAACTAAATAACCCATCTCATTCTTTAAACCAATTTCAGCAAGATGTATTGTCGTTGCCACAGCACCAAACTTATAAGGATATCTGCTTAAGATTAAAACAGCAAATGATGTAGCATTATTTCCTACAGGCTGTATTGGACGCTTCCAGATTTCTAAGTGATTTTTCTAAAGGAGAGAAATATAAATTGAAAGCATGAGAAATAAGTATGCAATAAAACATCTGAGCATAAAATGAAAAGAAATTACACAAACTGCATGAAGGTGTGAAGAAATTCATATAAAATGCATCTAACTTGCTCAGTTAATTATAAACCATATCAACTGCCAAGCTAAATAATGAAATATTAGCATAAATAAATTAGATTTTTGAAACAATGTATCAAAAAATGTGTATACTTTGTGTGCTGTTATGTCACTGATCATTAGCTTCCAGTTTCTTCCCTCTTATCACCTTCATTAGTCACCAAATACACAATACAGAATGAATGTGTCTTTTGTATATTAAATTTTCAGCATGCTATAAAACATAAGTGTTTTGGTTTTCATTATTTCTCTAATAATACGAATTTGAGTATTTGCTATAATATTCATTTTTTATTTAATTCATTCATTACATTATTTTATAAATGAGAGGCTAAACATAAAAAAGTTTATGATGGTGCAAAATTATGCTGAGTAATTGACTGACTGAACAAGCTAATTCAGGTTAAAGATAGGATCTTAGCTGTTGCTTAATCACCCAATGGGATCTTTGTGGATTAAGTGATTTAGAAGTAATTTACCAAAGTTAGAATTTATTAACGAGAAAAATCATATACCAAACATACCTCTAGATTTCCAGTTAGTTATATATTACTATACAGAACCTTGATCATAAGCATTATTAGTTTGCTAAATTTTAATGTTTTTAAGAAGGGGAAGAGATGATATTTAGCCAGGGCTAAAGGGCCGGTTCTTCAGCTTCTCGTAGCTGAAACATAAGAAGAGACTGATGACGTAGTTGGGTTCGTTTGCTGCTTTGAGGGCCTTCGGTTTCATGAGTATTTGCTTGAAAATCAAAAGGTTTTGAAGAATTGTTTGGTAAATAATATGAGCAAGAGATTTTATCTCATGAAATTCCAATATATATGCATTTACATCTGACCTCGTAAGGAGCTATGACACATTTAATTAAAATATGTATGCGTAAAACATAAGCTTTTCATAAGTCGAATATATATTAAATATGGTTCATTTTTTCTACAATACTTTTTTAAAAATGCATGTAAATAGTAATCCATCGACAAAAAACATTGATAAATTTCTGTATTTACGAAGAATTCTTTTTGCATTAAAATATCACAAATAATATCATAAGTTGCATTACAGAAATATTAAATAAAATTCTGCAAACGTAATTGCACAGTGCACGCTAGAAAGACCTTATACACCCATCTGATTAATAGTTAATTAATTCTAATAATGAATTTCATAATATATTAAATCCAAACAAATTTCACTTCATTTATTTTGTGTTTATTAGCACTGGAAATGAGTTGATCAGATTTTTGTAAGCCTTGGCAGAAACTATTATGAAAGCATTATTATGGATCATCAGGATTACTATGCAGCCTTCCATTTCTCATAAAAATAATAAAAAAACTTTTTAATTGATATTTATATGCTTTCTTATGTATACTCGTGTATTCTTATATTTTACAAGTATGTATTCTAATGCTAGTTTATCTCTATGCAGAATTTCATGATTTATTTTGCATAGTTTTATAAATAGCTACAAAGTGCATAAATCATATAAGAAATTACATAGATAATAAACCAAATAATGATTTAAAATATTATTTTAGATGCAATAAAATGAATAAATTTACATGATTTATTTCCATTTACTTATTTTCTGGTTAGCTTTTCTTGCTGACACAAGGAATGCATACCAATTCAAGTGTCAAACTTATATAAATATTCGTAAGCAGCAAAATAAACGAATCGTGTTCTTATTGACGGAGGGAAGATGTTTTTCAAGTTTAGAAATATGATTTTTTATTTCACCCATACATTTTCAAAAATTTTCTTGATCCTTCGTCAAGGCTTTTTAAAGGAAAATGGCTCATAGCTACCTATGATTTTACACATAATGATCTGATTACAATGCTTTCTGAAATGCCATTTGGAGAAATTTAGTTTGCTCTTGTTTCATTAATATACTTATTTGGTTTTTGGTATATTTATTTTAAACGTACATTTTACCTCCGTAATTTTCCATTTTCTTTATTAATATGTAGCTGGAAAATGACGTTAGTCATGAATGGGATATTAGCCTCGAATCGGCATTTTGCGGATCACTGTAAACGGCATATACTTTTCAAATTGTTCCCACAAAATATTATTACCCTCTATATTTTTTTTAAAAATAAATAATGATGAATCTGCATGAATGTATGCATGTTTCTCAAGCTGTGAAAAAATAACAGTACCTAGAGCCATCAAATTTTGAATAACATAATCCTGCACCCGAACATGGGCACATGGAAGCTCGAATTTTGAATTTGTTTTATTATCTATTTTATATTTTATAAAACTTTAAAGAATTTTTAATTAAGAAACTTAACGACTGCATTGCAAACAGTGGTAACACTGAACGGAAAAAAGCACTTTTATATCCAGTGCGCGAGACTGTCTATCTTAAATGTCAAAGGTATGATGTTTTTAAATATTTTGTGATTTTGCTGTTGAATCGAATTTTATGTACTGTTAATAATAAAAAGACAAAAAAATTTTGTACGTCATCTCAGTAAGAAAACTGAACATTGATATCATGAACTGGGGGAAAAAAAAAAAAAAGTATACTTACACAGCCATTCTTTAGTCTGTTTAACATTTCTGTACAGAAATCAATAAAATATCGCGTTTAAAAAGAAATAACTTTCGTATTATAATACATATGACCACAGGTTGCAACGGTATAGGGCCCCATTTTTTGAATATTTTCTCGTTACAAACACTTTATAAATACTAACTCATTTTAAAAGTATCCTCAGCTATAATTTTCAAGTAAAAGAAACCTCTTTCAAAGAATCTAAGTAGTAAAGATTTAAGCTTTTGCACTGTGAATCTCTTATCAATAGGCGAGGTGAGGAAATAATGACGTCACATTGTTTCCCAACAGGGTTTGTCTCAGCATCGTTCCCCTCAAAGGGATGAAACAGCCTTTCTCTTCTTTAGCCGTGATATTTAACGCAAAGATTTTTTTTTTTTTTTTTTTAAAGATTATGAAGTTGAAGGCTTGGATTTACAAACAGCCAAAAAGCTCTGCTGAAAGAATGAAACACTAGTGGAATACCTTGTTAAGGAATATTCTTTGATATCACCAAGAGATGGCGTTAGAAATCCATCTACTGGCTTACTTGATGCTTCCCATTCTGAACACATGACTTGAAATTTTATTCTTCTTGAAAGTAGAATTCGATGGACTACGCAATAAACTTTGCTTTAGATTCTTTGATGGAACTATTCAGTTCTTGCTTTTTGAGCTTTTAATATTCGATTCAGGCATTTTAATCTACATTGTATATATGTAAATACTAAGTTTAATTAAAATTTATGAAAAACCCTCCAGGCCACGCATCTCATTTTGGATTATGAGTGATTCGAATTTGATGTAGAATTTCATTACAAATGGTGCATCGGTACGAAAAAGAATTTGATTAATTTGAAATTTTGTGTTTTTCGCCTTTTGGATTAGCTTCGTAAGCGAAGACTGCTCACAGTAAGTTTCCTTTGATAATTTATTAAAAATGGAACAAAAGACACTAAATAAGAATCAAGTACATATACATGCTTCTGCAACTCAAATTATTAAAAATGCAGTGAGTATTTAAAAAAAAGAAAAACAAGAAGAGTTAGAAAATTCTTTGGAATTGTTAAATAGTAAAGAAATGAGACTACATGATTTAAATGAAAAAATACAAAATTTGATTGAAGATGAATCAACATTAGAGTCAGATATTAACACGTCTATGGAATATAACGATAAAATAATAATAATGAAGTCTAAAATCAACCGTTATTTAAGGAAATACAATACTCAAAATGTCAACACAAATTTAAATAATTCATCTACAGAAGTTGAAACCAAAAGACAGATTGAGGGCAATGTGAAATTGACCAAACTGTTAATTCACAAATTTTCCAGAGACTATAACGATTGGATGAATTTTTGGAATTCATTCAAGGTCATCGAAAAATTTAATTATTTGAAAACTTATTTATGTGGAAACGCAACCTCAGCCACAGAAGGTCTCCAATCAGAGGCTATATGACTTGCTATAGAATTCTTAAAATAGATTCGGTCAAATGACATATATCAATACACACATTTAACTCTTAATTAAATCCCATTCAAAGTTCAAGGGAAGTGGGAAAATTGCGAAAACTTTATGATAAAATTAACGTTCAACTCAGACGCCTTTTACCACTCGGTGTGAAACGAGAAACATATTCCAACATGTTTATTCCAATTTTGATGAAAATTGTCCTGAACAATATAACTTTAGAATTTCATTGTACAAATACTGGAAATCATTCAACCTATGATTTAAACAAATTCCTAGACCTTCTCCGATTAGAAATAGAATCGTGAGAAAAAATTAATTCCTTATCCTTTCAACGCAAGTCAAAACCGGAATGAAAAGTATTAACAGATATCCACCGACGCCAAAACATAAACAAAATGTCGCCACACACAAATTTATGGCAGCCACAGCATCAAATCGAAACTGCATTTTTTGTTTTCAAAACCATGACTCAGAGTCCTGTTTATGCTTTACAGTTAATGAGAAGACAGATATTTTGAAGAGGCAAGTATGGTATTTTCTTTGTCTTGCACACAAGCACAAAATTTCAGAATGCCTCCAACGTCAAACTAAAGTTTGAAAATTTGCAAAGCTACATTAGAAGTTATGTTTAAATCCAGTTCGAAGTTAAAAATACACTAAGTGTAAAAAGGAAGTATATCAATTTTAAAGAAAAACCAAATAAGGAACAGAAAGAAGAAATTGTTTCGGCCGTTTTGCATAGTGTAAATAACACAATTCATTTACAGACTTGATGAAAAGGTTAAAACCAGAAGGAAAAGGTTTTGTCAGACTTTCCTGGAGTGGAAGTATGAACAGTTTTTTTGCTCGCGAGAGCAAACAGATTAAACCTCGAAGTCATAAGAAAAGAAAGATTCACTGTCTACACTTTTAGGAATACTCACCATCCAAAAAAAAATGATGAGGTAAATTAACTTTAGAACATAGAAGTTCTCCTGATTGTACAATAGAGTTGAATTATTAGTAATGATCATATATCAGGTAAGATAGTCTCTCCTAATTAGAAGAAAATTAAGCAAAATAGACAATTAAAAATTTGATACTCGCAGATTTTCTCGATTGTAAAAAACCCATTGCCATTCTAATTGAAGCTACAACATAGTAATGGGACACATACTTAAGCAAAAACCTTGTTGCAGTGGAAACTATTTTCGGCTGGTGCCCACATGGACGAAAAGGTGATGATGATGTCTCTTTAGCTTCAATGTAGTTGTAGGGGAAAATTTGATTTTCAAACAAATAACAAAATTTTGGAACTTGGAAAGCTCTGGACTTATTGATAAGAGGGAAAATTTCGATTCAACTGAAAATGAAGTCATCAAATGTAACATGTGAAAGTTCTCGCTAAAAGTTAGATTGCCTTGGAAACGTGACACGTCAAATCTAAATAATAATAGGGAAATCGCAGACAAAATTTAATCGACTTAAAAAACAATTTTAAAAAAAATTCTAATATTTTCCGAATACAGGAACATATAAAAGATCAGTTAAAACAAAATATTATCGAACCAGTTACAGAAAATTTCAAATGAAGAGGATGTCATGTTTACTTACCACAGCGGAAGTTATAGTGAGGACGAGCTACAAGTAAATTACGTATTGTTTATGATGCATCAACGCATGCCCAGGATCCATTTCTTTAAATGGTCTACATGGGGCTAAATTTATACCCTGAAAATATTCGAAAAATTGTTAAGATTTCGGATAATCCAAAGCTTCACTGCAGATATAAAACAGGCTTTTACAGATTCTCATACATGAAAAGGAGCGGGTCGCAACCAGGTTTCTGTTTTCCGAATTCCCTAATGATGAAAACATTTCTGACTAAATAGGTTCACTACAGTTTATTCAGAATAAATAGTAGTCCATTCTACTAGCCGCTACCATTAAAACATCATCTGAAAAAATATATAAACTTTATCCTACACGGTTCACTTTTGAATGAGAACGTACGTGTAGATGATGTGATTGGAAACTAACCAACGATAATGAAGCATTAACTACGAGTCTAGAATCGGTCCAAATATTAAGGAAGCAAGAATGCAGCTTCACAATAGCATAGTAACTCGAGAAACTACATGATTGTGGGTGAACAGGGGTATCGTTCCAGATGAAAAATCCTGAAGATTTTAATAAGAAAAATTCCCATTTAAGGTCTTAGGTATGGCATGGGTTAATTCAAAGGAATTATTGTATTTTGATGTTCGAAACCTATTGTCTTTCACATCTAAACCAATAGAAAACAAAACGACTTCTTCTACAAGTTGGGTCGGATTCGATCCAATTGGAATTTTAGGACCTTTCACGTAGATAAATGCTAATGCAGGAAGCTTTGATCATCAAAATAGATGGGCGAAATGTTACCTGGAGATGTTGTCTCGATGGTGAAGCGGTTGTGAAGAGCTACCTCAAATGCGGAATTCTCCATCTTCTTGTACCTTTCCATGTCCTCAAACTTTAATGTCAAAAATCTCGAATTACATTGCTTTCAGATGCAATGTCAAGCCTATGGTACAGTCGCAATTTACGTTCATGACAGATAATAAAGAAATCAAAACGGCCCTTGTCTTCTAAAAATAGGATAGCCCCACTAAAACCCTACTTTACTGAGGTTGAATTAATGGGGCATGATCATTAAGTTAGGCCGCAATATTCTGAAAGCACTTAAATTGAAAATTCTGTGCTATTTTTGGACAGACTCAACAATTACTTATTTTTGGTTCCAAAAACAACCCGAAGCCTTCAAACCCTTTGACAAGAATCGTGTCGAAGAAATACAAAAATTGAGCTCATCACAGGATTGGTATGATTGCCCAGGTGTCAACAACCCTCCAGATCTCATATCTCGGGGAACGAATATCTCTAAGTTAATAAACGAGGCCATTTGAACACAAGGTCCCCAGTGGCTTCAACTCCCTTACGAGCTTTGGCCAAGATTAGATAATAAAGAAACAATAGATGAAAACAAACTGGAATACTGAAAGGAATCCAGTGATATACATCAACTTGAATGTACAATCGAAAAAAGTACAGATGATACTTTTGACATATCAAAATATAGCAAATTGGAGAAGGTGTTAAGAGTTACTGTTTGAACAACACGTTTCATTAGAAAATTAAGAAAAACTAGCGACATTCAAGGAACTCTCACAGCTGAAGAGTTACAAGAAGCAGAAAAATTTCGGATAAGATCAGAGTAAAAGAATTTTTTGCGAAGAATATAAAATCCCTCAAAGAAGTAATTTGGTTGGAAAAAATTCTCTTTGTACAATTCTTCCTGCATTGAAAAAGGAAATCATGAGTTGAGAGGAAAATTGGAATTTTCTGACTTCTCATAGATAATAAAATCCAATAATCCTACCTAAAAATCCCAACTGTGATACTAATGTCGCAAAGGAACATGAGAAGATAATGCTGGAGCAATTGCTGCAACTTAGCTAAAGTCAGATATGTTTCGGATTCCTAACGGCGAATGTTAGTCAAAAAGCATTAAAAGGTTGTACGATTTGCCAAAAATATTTAGCTAAACCAAAGACCAATGAATGCCCTTACCAGGATACCAAGAAATCCCCTCCATTTGCAGTCTTTAGAATTGATTTCGCCGGCCGGACCAGTTCATGTAAGGAATTCTAAAGACACTCAAATCTATTTTTGTTCATTTGTGCAGTAACCCGGCCTGTACACTTAGAACTTGTATCCGATATGTCAACAGAACTTTTTACTTGCATTTGTAGATTTTGAGGCAAGAGAAAACTGCGTATCATCTATCTGATAATGCTAAGACCCTTAGAGGACAAGAAAGAACTTGAGAATTTTTCAAAAGTTTTAAAGATGAAAATTCAAGAATTTCTTGCCCAAGCAAGATCCATTGAACATTTAAATCGAGTGAGCCCATGGTGGGGAGGGTTGTATTGAGGACTTGTCAGATCTGTTAAAGAATGTTTAAGAAAAATCGTAGGAAGAGCACTGTTGACCTTCCAAGAAATGTCTACACTACTTGTCGAAGCAGAGTCAGTTCTTGATTCACAACCTCTAAGTTACGTTTACAACGACAATGACGAGCCACAACCCTTGACTCTAATGCACTTCCTAAACATTGGACAAACTGATTTGAAGTATCCTTTGACTCTTGCTAGAATCATCGGTAGAGAAACTCTGTTAAAAAGAAAGCATTATCAAGAATTGCTGTTAAAACAGTTGTGGTGCAAATGGAAGGAACAATATTTATGAGATCTTAGAACTGCCCATTTCGTGAAGAATCCGAAACCAGAACTAAAAGTAGATGTTGTTTTAATTGAAGGTGTTATGGAAACTTGGCAGAAACATAAAAACTATTCTTGGACGTGATGGTTAAGTCCGATCATTCGAATTAAAAACTGGTAATGGGACTTTAAAATGTACTGTTCAACATCTATATCCTCTTGAACTTTGAAAAAAAAATTGAACTTTAACGATTTTATGGTGCACTTTTTTCCAATTAATGATTAAATTGAATATCATTAGTTAAGTTTGTTTAGTTAAGTTGAAAAAATTTTAAAAATTTAGTTCATTATTAATTATACATGTGTGTATAACATTTTGTAATTGAGGGATTGATATAGTATTTTCATATTTTTATAGAATAGTTATTATGTACTTGATGTAGGTAAACTGAGTTAAAAGAACTCTTGTCAGAGTTCAGGTGGGGAGTGCGTTAAGGAATATTCTTTGATATTGCCAAGAGATGGCATTAGAAGTCCATCTATTGGCTTACTTGATGCTTGCCCTTCTGAACACGTGACTTGAAATTTTATTCTTCTTGAAATTAGAATTTGACGCACTTTGCAATATAATTTGATTTAGATTCTTTGATAGAACTATTCAGTTCTTGTTTTTTGAGCTTTTAATATTCGATTCAGGCATTTTAACCTACATTGTATATATGTAAATATTACGTTTAATTAAAATTTATGTAAAACCCTCCAGGCCTTGATTCGAATTTGATCTAGAATTTTGTTATAACCTTGGAATAAAACTACGTAGATGATTTACAAAATCCTTATTTTCCCTTGTTCATAGTTACCAAAATTAAAGAAAATTGTCCCTTTACTTTTGGAGTCATGCTAGTATATTTCGTTTATAAACAGCTTACTTGACTTATTAGGGTACAGAGTTTCAGTATGTACAAAATTATGTTTCCTCTGCAAGTCCAACAAAAGAAAATTAATAGCTATAAATAATTCCTCAGCAAGTTCCACAATTCATAATTCATACATTCATCATAATTGCAAAACTGAGTACAACAAACTGAATTGCTACATGAAAACTAGATATTCACTTTTAATTTATATACAGGTATATTACTCAGAGTCAACACTTAGTATATCAAATTTGTAAGCTTAAAATTAAATTAATGCTAATAAATGAAATATTAAAAATTAATATTTAACTTTTAAGGGAAACTTTTATTTTATGAAAGAGAAAATGTCTTTAAACATGAAGTATCTAATTAGACAGATATTACCTTAAATATGCGTTTCCCAGGCAACCCAAGACTATCTTGATTAATAGCAATTACTTTAGTATTTAACAGAATCTTCTGAAACTCTACATGAATGTCTCTCAAGTCATTTGACATTAATAAAGGGCCAGGAATCATAGCCCACACTGCCATTTGTGCCCTTGCCTGACCAACTGTTAGACGGGGATTTCCAATCATTAACTGTAACAAGAATGACATTATTGGAAGAATACTGCAGAAAGTCTAAATTTTACATTTTGAAACTAATATGTTGAAATTAACATGAAATAAGCATAACTTGTAATAACTTTACCACACAAATTAATATAAATTTAATATCAATATTTTAATTATAAACAACATACCATATCAGGATCACTCCAATGACCAGGACCAATGTGGGGGGATAGAACATCCTGATTATCACCGAAGAAATCAATAACTTTCTCAATACTTTTCCAAGAATCATGAATATCATCATAGATTCGCCACATATTACATTTATGGGCTATTAATTTGTAATCTGGCTGTAAATAAATAAACTCAGTAAATATAAAATATTTTAAACAAATAATGAAATACTTCAAACTGAGCTTTACCAGATTTTACTCATGTAATTTTAGACATTTAATTTGGAATCTGCAACAATATTATGTTCCAGTTAGGTAATTTATATTTGTTGAAAACTGAGAAATGTACTGGAGTTGTCTTAATTATCTTGATGATGCTTTATCATTTTTCTGTTTAAATGCAAATATAAATGGCTTGTGATCTGTGAATATCATGAACTCTCATCCATCTAGCATATGTTTAAATTGTTTGATGGAAAGGCAGATACTTAAATGTCCTTGATCCTGTTTTGGAATAGAATACTATTGGTTTCCAGTCTTCATAGCTCTAGAGTCTTCTAGTCTCCAATTGTCAAATTAGAGGCGTCTATTACATAAAGCACTAATGTTAGATCTGGTTTAGAAAAGGTTAATAAAGCAGCACTGGCTAAATCTTCTTTGCATTTATCAAAGGATTCCTTTGCTTCTTCTGTCCACGGAATTTCCCTTCGATCTTTTTTTTTTTTTTTTTTTTTAAACCTTTTAAATATTCATTTAAAGAAGCATGGGTATTAGCTGCAACTTTTAAGTATCTTCTATAAAAGTTAATCATTCGTAAAAATGTACAAATGTTCATGAATAGTTTTAGGAAGTCTTGTAATTTGTTATCGCTTGTGCTTTTTCAATGCTATAACTTATACTTGTACAATAAATTACATTCTGCTGAGGATTCACAAAAAGAGTTTTGCTGGTATAATGAAAATAAAAAATATAACTCAATAATTTATTCAGGTCATTAAAAAAATTTATTTTGATAGCAAAATTAAGACACTTTGCCAGCTACCTTGATATACAAGGTGCATAGGAAAGTTCCTTTAACATGAAAATTCTTTAGAATGGAAAGAGCTAAAACTATGCAAGTGAGGTAATGGTATAGTACAGCAACTACATCCTACCTAATGCAAATGACAGCAGCACCCCTAATGGCGAAATCTGGAAGATAAGCATTGCAAATCGAAAATGAAAAGAGAGGGAACAAAATTTCCAGTTAGAAACTTTAGAGCATCAATTAATTAGTACGAGATGAGATTTGTTTCACATGAAATAAACTGCCATTTGTATACCAAAAAATGTCTGCAATCAATGCACTACATTTTGTGCATTTGAAAGGAATAGCCATAGGTATTACGGAATACACACCTTTATACTGCATATGGTGTGGTGTATTTAATTATGGCAAAGCACACTAGAGCTATCTGCCTAAGGGGAGGGATGCCTTCGTGGAGGACTTTCTAAGGGAAACTGGCTCGTATACACGTTACACATGGGGAAAACCACGAAAAACACCCATGCAGCCAGCCGTTCGCGGGATTCGAACCTTGGACCGAACTACCAGTGTCAGCGACTTTACCGCTCGGGCCGCTGGTGGGCCTTTATACTGCTAAATACGTACTATGTCATACAGTAGATAACTCCACACACCAAAAAAAAAAAAAGTGAAAGGTTTGATTTTAAATTACGTCCAAAGGCGCGTTTTTTTTAACATTTTCTCTGTTACCTTTATTTATTAAATATCATGTTCTTTGCACTTAAACCATAAAATTCAGTTCAAGAGCAATATCACAAAATAGTTTTAAATTGGGCATATCCCTTTAGAATTTCGGATACAGAGTTTCGCGCGATGGAAATAAAAAAGTTTTTTTTTGTGCAATGTTCCATTACTCGTTTTGAAATCCTTGAGTTTGTTAATCAAAAATTCGTTAAAGTTTTACAAAATATGAAATCGATAATAAAACGTATTCCAAATTTGGGCTTCCACATGGCCATATTCGCAGTAGGATTATGTCATCGAATTCGATGGCTCTGCGTCCGTTGTTTTATCACAACGCAAGATATATACTACATTTATGCGATTTTTCATTATTTAATTCTTCAATATAATGCAAGACTCTAAATTTGGTGGCACAGTTTCAAAAGTGAACAGACATTTATAGTGAACCAACGCAGAATGAAAACAATAGTTCTTCAGGGACAAGGCCCCTTTGGACTTAAAAAAACACTAAGCAAACTGTCACGGTGATAGCTCTTGGGAGTGAGGATGTAGGCAAAGCATATTTTGCTTCCCTTAAATAAAGCTAAGATTAATCTAAATAAAATTAATGCTTTATTCTGTAAATTAAAATTAAATAAGCTAACACTGTAGCCTTTACATTTAAAACCATTTGAGGGAAAGATAACGAGTATAATGATAACTCAGAACACACACATTCGCCGGTTCCGGCGTACATCTATACATACTCGACCAAACCGCTGATCTTGACGCCATCGGCCAATCAGCTTACCGTTATCACGTTAGCTTACCGCCGATTGACCTGTGATCAAAATTTGCATGAGGAAAACTAAAACCAACAAATGGCCCTCTTTTCCTCAATCAAAGACAGAAACAAAACTTACACAGAATTACAGAAGCTCATATCTCAATTCTACTATATGAAAACACTTACTATCTTTTAACACTAAAAACATCTAAACAAAACTTCCTTAAATTAACTGCATTCGCCGCTTTTGTAAATAAGTCCACAGTATTTAATTTACTGGTGATAAATTCAAGGTCAAACACTCCATCATTTACTAGTCTTCTAATAAAGTGATATTTTATGTCTATGTGCTTAGTCCAGAGATCTAGAAAAATCAATGGCAGACTTGTTATCGCAAAATAGTTTGCATTCTCTTATGTTAAACTTTTCCATAATACTTGTAATTCTTGAAATTACGAGTTTTTAGTAATTTCATCTTGTAAGATATTTTTTGTCCACATTAATTCCTTCACTGCCTTTGATAAGGCGATATACTCCACTTCCATGGTTGATAAACTTACACATTTTTGTTTAAGAGTTTTCCACATTACCGGTGCATCATCTAAATATAATATAAATACTCCCATGGACACGCGGTCATCCCTATTGCTTGCATAATCAGCATCTGAATAATATAAATTTAGATGTTTAATCTTCGATAAGTTTAACTTATATAATTTAGTACTATTGAGATAACCAAGCAATTTCAACAATGCTTCCCAATGCCTAATTCCAGGATTCTCCTGAAATTGTGATAAGATATTCACTGCATATGTAATATCAGGCCTTGTCCTGTTAGCTACAAAAACTAAACATCCCAACAGATTTCTAAAGGGTAATGTATGCATTTGCAATTTCTGCACTTGTAGATGGACAATCTAATTTTGTAAGAATAGTGCCCTTTAGCTATGGGAAGTGAAGTTATTGGTATCTGGAAATGTTTAAGTTTTTCAAAAATTTCTTCGATATATTTTTGCTGACGTATAAAAACACCATTCTCGTTCGCTGAGAATTCAATTCCAAGTAATGTTTTAGTTTTGCCTAATACTTTAAGATAAAAAAACTTACTTAGCTGTGAAATTACTTTATCTATACTATATTGATCTTTACTAAAAATCACAATATCATCTACATATAACAAGAGAATTAATTACATTTGAACTCTTATAAACACAATTACACCATTGTATTTTCTTAAAATGTAGATTTTCTAAAGTACTTTCAAATTCACAAAACCATTCATGGCCACTTTGATGTAGACCGTAAATGGCCTTGTGTAATAAACACACTTTATTTTCCTCTTCAATAAATCCCTCTGGTTGGGTCATATATATTTTCTCATTTAGGTTTGCATATAAATATGCATTCTTTACATCTAACTGACAATTAAGTCCATCCATATAAACATACCAGTATAGTGAAAAATATTCTTATGATTGAAAAATTTACTTATAAACGTCATCAAAATCTTCACCTCTTTTCTGCCTGAATCCCTGTGCTACTAAACGTGCTTTGTATCTTACCACTTGATTCTTTTCATTTCTTTTTAGCGTATAGACTCATATGTTTCCTAGCATAGTTTTATTTTCTGGCTTTTCGACTAATTCCCAAACCTTTTCTTTCTTTATTGTGTCGAATTTCTTCTTTCATTGCCTTATCCCATTCTTCGGCATTTACTGATTTTCGTGCTTCTTTAAAATTTTGTGGGATAACAATTTCTACGGAATTTGCCTCTTCAGACATGGAGCTAGTCTCCTTGTTCTACAAAATTAACTTTCCCCGAGTATTCGTTTTTTTCCACTAAAATCAAACTTATTATCTTTTTCAAATTTAATATTTCTTGCCTCACAATACTTTTCAATATCATTATAGGATCTAAAACGGGTGTCTGTTCCCTCTACATAATAATATATGTCTGTACGTGTTCCGTCTGGCCTTTTAACTGCTTTTCTTTGCCAGTTTAAGTCTGATACTTCTTTCGGGGTAGATTTGTCATCTGACAACTTTATTTCTTCTCTAGAAAGTTTCCTGTTCTTCATCTGATTCTGCTAATAGCTCAGATTCCTCTAGTCTTTTAAACTTAGGTTTTGATTTCTGGTCCAGTATGGCATTTGCTGCATTCAGTTTTTCAACAAACTTCACATTACAGGTTTCTATTAATCTGCGTTCTTCTGGCAGCCATATCCTATAACCTCTAGTTTCCTTCGCGTATCCTACGCTGATTCCTTCTTTGCACCTCATTTGTAATTTATTTCTAATCTATTTTGGCATGCCAACATAGGCTTTACAACCAAATACTGTAAAATAAACAACACCGGGTTTTCTATTTAGGAACATCTCATAAGAGGTTCCATTGCTTTTATGACATACTCTATTCCACGTATGTACAAAACAGCCAAGAGCTTCTGCCCACCATTCTTTTCCCATCATTAAGCATAGCTTTAACTTTGTCTAATGCCATTCGGTTAAAACGTTCACACACACCGTTCTCCAGCATAAATTCTTCCAATAAATTTTTTCCAGCATAAATTCTTCTCTTCTGGGGTGTACACGTTTGTGCGTTCAAAACTAATTCCATTTTCGGCTAAGTAGCCTTCGAATTGCCTGTTACAGAATTCCTCA